CTTCCATCCTTCCGAGGTGGGTAAAATGAGGACCCAGATTGTTGGGGGCAATATGCTGACTCTCTGTAAACCGCTTAGAGAGGCCTGAAAGGCCTATGAAGCGGTATATAAGTCTACTGCTATTGCTATGTGCATGGGCGAACATGTGTGGATGTGAACCTGTGTGAATTTGCACATGCACGGACATGCGTGCATGCACAGCAGAGACCCAAAGACCAGCTGGCCAGCGGGAAGCGGGGCATCTCAACACTGGCAGCGCAGCAAGAGATAAGATCTTTTTCTTTCATGAGCATCTGTTTCGGCGTTTTCAAGGAAACAGAAGCTCATGAAAGAAACGCCATGGAGATTTGACCTGGGGCGACGGGGCGCGTGCCAGCAGAGAGGGCTCTGCATGCCACCTCTGGCACACGTGACATAGTTTCACCATCACAGACCTATAGCCACAAGGAAAATGATTAAATCTATGAAAAACAGATAGACCTTGCTAATCAAATGTGTCACGCAATGACCATTTGCAACTATAAGGGTGGAAAAAAAACAAGGTGCATATATATGACCTCTCCACTTTCTTTCAGTCACATGTTTCTCTTTACACTCCTTTTGTACATATCTTGTGCCTGACCTGCTTTTTCTTCTTTTATCCTTCTTGCAGTGTGAGAGATTGCTTAAACAAGCAATCTTTTCTGGGCTTGACCTTTTTTCCCCTCTCCTCCCCTTTTTACAGAGCAGAGAAATTGGAGAGAAAGGGATTAAGAAGGAGTAGAGAGGCACACTATGGGAAATACACATCAAAAGGAATGAGTAAGTGCCAGCTGTTTGCCTGGAACATTTGCAGTTCCCAACCCCAAGCATACTAGGCTAGCAGATGATGCTAACACATTTTTTTCGATGTACATTTCCCATTGGGTACCTGGTTACTCTCTTGTTGTCCCTTCCTCTCCAACGAATGTAAATTCAACCATTAAATCCATTCCTGTTAATTATCTCAGTGCTGGAGGGAGTGTTCCAAAGGTGGGAAGAGTGGAAAGTGCAGTTGTGTCACGTGATTTCCCATGCAGCAACTGTGTCACAGAATTGCTGATTCCCATTCTGATTGCTAAACAAGCACTGCATGTATTTGGATTTTGGGGGTGGTGGTGGTAAAAATTTAAAAACATAATGTTTGAAAATATAAGTCCACACACAGTGGAATATTAAAGTTAGGACTTCCACATCTCTATTCTTGGGCAGATTTAATATTCACAGATCAAAAGGGAATCTTTTGACAATGTAATTTATCAGGTGTCAGAAGTGTTAGGTAAGCTCCCTATTGGGAGAGCGAGTATGTTCAGAGAAGCATTGTGAGAGTTGTGTTGGAGAACAGACAAACCAGCATACAGAGACACTGCAGTTTAAA